TGCACATGACACCTTTAGAATTTCATTCTCATCCAAAAGAGAAAATGCTGCTAAGTACATCTGTGAAGAAAGAAATTTTAGAAGAAATTTTAAATTGTATTTTCTAAGTTGTGGGCAACTGAAACTTAGAAAATGCAAATGAAGTGACGTCTACTAAGGAATGATTTAATATACAAAATCATGAAAGAGCTCTCAATTATTACTATGATTGATAATTTGAGCTCTTCAATCAAGAACAGCATAGCGCAAACAATGTAAAAAGTCTGGATCAATTCCTTAGTTTGACGTCACTTTKCATTTTCAATTTTCAATTTTCAAATGCCTATAACTCGGAAAGTACAATTCAAAATCTTTTTCTTTCTTCACAAAAGTACTTGGCAGCGTGTTACCTTTCGGATAAAAGTGKTTTTCTTAAAGGTGTCATGTGCACTTTAAATGGTTGGGCATGATCGTGAAAAAAATATGAAGTCAGTAGTGAGTCGTTTTTTTCAGAATAAAGTAAATAAAATCGTGAAATAGGTATTACACAAGTACACCTTATTCTTCAACAACCAATTTTCGTCCACTCTCAATGGCCGAGAGTAGACCACGTGACGCGATAGTGCCCGCAGCTGAGGGGTGCTATCAATACATAGAGCCCGTCGATTCAGAAAAAAATAGTTGTTGAATATAAACAATAGAGCAGTTGATATCTCGGATATTTTGCTTCGAAAGTTGCCCTTGGAAATTGGAGAATCCTTAAAACTTTATAAGCGCCATTTGTTTTCGGAACATTCATTCGTGGGCTACTATTACAGCATAATGCCCTCGATTCAACGATTTTAGTATTTAAATAGATCTAAAATAGAAAACAAAGGACTACACATTTCGGTACAATTTAGCACTATTCATAATCCTAAAAGATATTAACGAACCCTTGCCATAGCCACAATGATATCCTGTGATCACAACGATGAATGATATGTGCTTTTGCGATAAAGTGATGGCTCGTTTGGTAAATATTGGTTCGAGTAAACCACTGCAATGGTARCGGCCCTGTAAAAGCTGTCGTTAACAAAAACTCCAAAACGTTCTTCTTCGCAAAAATCGTACCTAACTTATGATTGTTACAATCGCAAAGAAAATCTATGATTGCAATATGTATAAATGATTTGATAATWATTCGCTGAAATGATTTGATTATTCATAGATTTTACAAGTTAAGACGAGACCAGGCTTACAGGATGACAACACAAGAGGGTAAAGACAATCCAGGACAAGATAACCCATAAACCATAGCGTCCTCGCAACACAGACTGAACGAAATATGTAGGCATAGCSTTAGGTTTCTTTTTAACTATTGCAAACTTAAAGTCACTTGTAAATACAAAGTCATTTGCATAAAAAAGGTTTTTAAAATTTCAAACAAGAATTGAAATTTCAAACTTTAGATAGTAAAAGGCGAATTAAATTTTATTGACATTGAAAAGATGTTTTGGAAATTTACGTTGAATGTTATAGAAAGGAAATTAWAAACAGTCACGATATATGCAAAAAGATATTAAACTTTTGACTATCCTATCGACCTTTTGGAATGTACCGAAAAGAAATAAAGACTTGGTGTTGTTAACCGGTGWTCAGTGGGCTSTTATTCACGTTTTATCAGCTTTTAGGAAGATATTGTGTGATTTAACTTGATATTATTACGTGTGAAACGCATCCTGTGACATAGAAATGCGTCTGTTTTGAAGAAAATAAATAAATAAAWAACAACACGCTTTATATATTTAGAAAGAACCTTAAGTATTTCCAGAAAGATTTTATTCTAATAGTAAGAGTTTTATATTAAATAATGTTTTTATCTTTAATTACATTGGACAACAGAGACTATTATGAAGTATGAGTACTAATTTACAATGGATATTTCTCCCGACATTGATGACTCAACTTTAGGAGAAAAGTTTACCAATTTCTTTGTGAAGAGATTGAGTGGTATTGACMATTATATCAATAAATAAATAAAATCAATTTTGTACTACATTCTGTTAATACGCCAATGAAATGATACATGGAAAGAGTGTGGCAAGAGTGGACAAACGCTGAGTGTATTCTGGCCCCTTAGAATTGTTTGCATATAGTAGATTGAGAAAGAACAAGAGCATTTGGTCAGTCCATCGAAACACCAAAGATGTGTGATAAGAAACAAGGCAATCTTTACAACATGGCTGCAACTGTCGCAGATATTCAAAAATATTTTTTTACCACAATTGTAATTTTTTTTATTTCTTGTTGATCGAAAGTACATACCACGATGACAAAACTGTTTTTTTTCCCTGAGATTGTTATCTAATTGCAGAACATTTTTTGAGACAAAACAAAACAAAACAAAACAAAACAAAACAAAACAAAACAAAACAAAACAAAACAAAACAAAACAAAACAAAACAAAAAACAAAACAAAACAAAACAAAAAACAAATTTAAGATCATCATCAAAATTGTTGTTTATCCACTAGACTTTGTCTTGTGGATGAATGATACTTTTGACGATGAGATGCCACCAACCGTGGTAAATAAGGACATACCACGAGAAACTATCATAAATTTGTTAAGTTTAATAGTCGTACTACTGTTGCATTCGGGTGAAACCACCCTGAGTACATTGAATAACAACTGTTTGATTTAGATTTAGTAGTATTCACATTTTAAAGACTTTATTATTATTATTGAGAAGGCTTTATACAATACAAATGCGATAATATATGAAGATAATATATTGACATTATGATTCGAAATACGAACATATTCATGAAGATACCAAACAATACCAAATAGAAGATTTCTCTAACCCCAGTCAAACCCATCGTCGCCWGAAAAGTCATCCAAACTATAAAATAGAAGTATTCCAAGATTGTCAGAACTAAATAAGAACAAGAAACTCGAGAYAACTGAGTACGATTAATAATTGTCAGTAGGTGTGAATGAAGGTTTCTATCATTGCACGCTCAACGATCGTCTTGTTTCAATTCAAAGGCACGGCTGCCTTTCAAGATGGCGCAGGGAACGGTGAAGGAGACTATTGTAAATTTTCTCGATTTGTGATTGGTCGAGAGCCGTGGTAAAGAAAAGTACATAACACGGTCGCAAGATTGTTTGTTTCTTCTYCTGGGGTTGCTATCCAATTGAAGGATATTTTGGGGGAGTAAAAATGAATTTCTAATAGTTTATCATCGTATGTCCTCATGTTTTCAACGATTAGTTCCATCTCATCATCAAAATTGTTGTTTCTGAACATCACTTTTTACGATTGTTAAATATATTTTCTTCAAAATAGACCAGTCTTGCCGGCCAGTTCATGCGAGAAGCAACAGATAACATCACCGCCTTTCAACGCCAGGTATCCTGATGATCGCAGCATCATTAGAAACAGTATCATCACCACGGTCACCATAGTGATAGGTCTCGCACATTATTTACACAGAAGATAATGAAGAATAATTTATCTTACCTTCCTTCCTCGGCGCCTTGAGACAAAATGGAGTTGGATGGTGTSTCATCAGCCTTTGTTGAAAGAAAAGGCAAAGATATTAAGATCATACTAAGATACTAAGTTCAAGTCGGCAGAAAACAGTGATTGCGAAATAAGAGAAATGCAATGTTCAGAAAGCTGAATAAGAATAAAAGAACACTTACATCTTTGTCAGGTTTTCCCTGCTTTGTTGATTGCGCAGTCTTTGCCTTGAAAGAAAATCATTCATTTGCGCTATGGTTACAATTCGCTCTAATTAAGAGGAAGGAGTCTCTCCTTCCAGGTTTCCTTTGCCATCTTGAAAATTAGCCGTCCCTTTGCAAAGAAGTGAGCCGACCGTTGTGTGTGCACAATAGATACCTGTGARTAATTAGCGTGAAAGAAGATTCACATTATTGCATGCTTAACGGTCGTCTCGCTAAGATACAATGGTAAAGCTATCTTTCACGAGATGGCGCTTGGAATCGTGAAGGAGACTGTTTCAGGTACCTTCTGTTCTTCTTCTCTCTTCGATTGAATCATTTGCATATATTGCAACATCACTGGATCAATGTCGGGATCTTTTTTAACAYCTTCTTGTTGTTCTGTTTCAGCTTTGTCTTCCTGTACTACTTCCCGCTTSKCAGTGCTCTCTTCTWYTACTCCTTGTTTTGCGTTTTCACGTTCTTGTRATTCTTGCTTACGTTGTAATTCCGCAAGTTCWCGTTGTTCACGTTCCCACGCTTCTTCTTCGCGTTGACGCCTCAGTTCTTCGCGTTTACGYTGTTCTTCTTCCCATTCGMGTTGTTCACGCTCACGAATTTTCTCGAGTTCTAGTTCACGTATCTCGCGTTCCTTACGTTCACGGGTTTGACGTTCACGTTCTTCGTGCTCGCGTAATTTATTACGCTCTTCAAGTTCACTTTTCTCACGCAATAAATCACGCTCTTTACTCGCAGCGAAATYATCATCGGTCTTTACTTTGGAGTTGTTCTTCCATGCAGAATCTAAAGTAATTGGTGGCCGTTGAACCTGTTCTGGAGATGAATGATCCGATTTMATAGATTCCCCGCCAAGGCTTTGCTGTCTTTCAATATTTTCATAATCTGTTGTACCGCCCCATGCAGTATCTAGAGATATTCTACCCGCAGAATCATTTTTTGTATTTTCTTGATTATCATGTTGAGTTGTATCAACGTGTTTTTTTAGTTGTTTGCCATCTGAAGTTCTATCGGGTTTGTTTAAGGTACCCAAGGACAGATACCCTGCACTYAAAGACGCATCACTGCTTCGATGAGACTCGTTTTCACTTTCAGTATCACTTTTTCTCCCGTGAAAAACACTCCCGTCGATCACAGGAACATGCGAGGCTTGRGCACTGCCTTTTTGTACATCAGATGACGTCAGAAAGCCCGTTTCACGTGACGACATCCCACTGCCTTCATTTCCACGGCCAATGGTGCTCGACAGAGGACGTCTCGTCATTTCTCCAGAGGAATAACCAGTGTTCTTGTAGGGTTTACTGGTGTCTGTAATGGTACTTGGTATTGAGGAATGGTCTATTGGAGCTGATATCACTGAAGGTGAACCGGGTTTAGCGATTAAATCACTAACATTGACGGTGTTGTTTGGTGGTCGCTTGTTGATCGTCGATAAACCAAAGTATCTATGGAATACAGGATACTATTAAGAATGCGTTCAAGGGCGGATCCAAGAAGGGGGAAGGGGGGGAGCGATTAAGGTGTCTAGCTATCCTTTATTAAGATTCAAAAATATATAAATGAGAAATAATGATATGAATAAATAATTAAGGATGTGAAGTTTTTTTGTTTTGGCTTAGGTACGTTGTAATGTTGATCAGGCGTTTTGGTCTTCTATCTTGGACATTCATCAGTGCTAAAATGTTTACAAAAACCGTTGTATTTTAACTTTTGGCGAGCGCGCTTCTGAAATTTACAGGTTGAGTAATACATTTTTATAAGTGTCAGGTATTGTCAATAGAAAACAATAAATCTATATGGGACTCATCCTGAAAAACGATTAAAACAGCGTTAATCTTGATAAATGATAAATGATAAATTTCATTTTCCGCAGCCATAAATCTATTCATTTGAATTTAAATTTTTAGTTGAGCGCTACCCTTTGTAACTGTCTGGCCCGCTACTAACTGGAGTTATAAATCGTTCATTGTTTATTATTGATGGTTTTCAACCATTTCCATGAGATTCTAAAGAAAAAAGACCGGCGGCCATGTTGGAGGAATGAACAAGATGGCCGCTGTGACGTATAGTGAAAACAAAGAATAAATTGCTCACAATGCATGACAGCGTACACAAAGAATCAATGACAAAGGACCAACCTTGGTGCTGTTGTATTCTGGGTAAGATCAGAGACACCAAAAGATGGTAAGGAATAAAACCGTGTACCACTGCCACCGTGCGTCGTGTCGTCTCTTAGCAACACTGATTGTGTAAACTGTTGGGGATCCAAGGAGCTGCTCACGTGACCACTTGCCAAATATGGAATAGGAACATCGTGACCTTTGTTATCACTAGCTGGTACCCATGACAACGGAACAAAATTGTCTTGCGAATCTGCATAAAAATAGTAATGTGTAACATGAAATAGTGTATAACATAATAATTTAGTATGACTAAAATCATTTAATACTGTCACAATTTGCACAGCATTTCAATATTTTTGCGATTCCTGGTTCTCCATTGGATTATTTTCAAAAAGAACCAATCTTTAAAGGGGTACCACTACAAAAATGTCCTATTTCTCAAAGTTTTTGGAAGTCAAAAGTATGAAAAGCAGAGTTTTTATTAACACCTATTAGAAGCTGGTCAGCTTGGATTGTGAGTCATCCACAGCGAGAAAGTTTGGTTCTGTACCAAATATTTGAGATATTTCTCAAAATATAAGAAAAATGTTAAAAACATTAATATTGAATGAGTAAGTTGCGCATACTTAGTAGTGACTAAACTCTGCAGTAACCTTGTTTTTCATTTTTCGTYATTTATCTCACTGTAATTCATGTTAATTAGTGTCGGCGTTTCATAAGTCGTTTACAACAWTCCCGTCCGCCTGCAGCTCGAGATTGTAATTCCCACACAACACGGCCGCTCATGTTGTAAACTACTTGTATACTTACTAGCTTTGTCCTGTTTCGAGGCCACTGCCAATAGAGGCTGTGCTCCTACAGTGTTGCCAGGTGTTGGGAGAGTAGGGTGCTTTTCTAATGATACCGGTGGTACACTTGTGAACTGGTCCAGACCTGTGTTCTTCATGCGAGACTGGAAACGTCGATACGATTCCTCCAAATCCTTCAAAGTTAACAAACGTTTTGTATAGTTTAAAACACTCAACTATACAATCGTTCAATGAAGTGGCTTAAATATTTCGAATATAGCGGAAGCTGCAAACAGTTATTCCAAGAAAATAACGTCCTGAATTATGCWTAGCCAGGGGCATGCGCAGTACGGTATCAAGATTTTGAATAAGGTCAGTGACTACAAAATGGCAAGGGTTTTGTGTGTGTTGAAGTTCTTAGAATTTTTGTTCTAACAAATACGATGACTTTACCAATACGGTGTACTAAAAGACCGGTCAAAGGGTATTCAAGGCGCGTTTTAAAACTTCCTTACACACGACAATTGATTCTTTTGGCTTTTTCGTCAATCCCATGGTGCATTTCGACTAGGGGAGTATGACGTCATTACAAGAGAAGACCACACCAGAGCAAAATAGGCCAGTAAGGTGTTTATGAATTGAAATACGGAGGGAATATTGTTAAAAGTAGCAAATGTCGACAAACAAATATTGTTAAATACCTTTGCATCTTTTTCTAGTTTATCAAACACTTCTTTGGAGTTTGCAATAAGTTCCTGTGTGGTTTTAGTATCATTCATCTCTGCACCATTCCTATCAGAGTTCTGTCTTGGCCGCGCTGCATATTCTACAGTATTCGTGCTTGGTTCAGGAGGTGGGCTTGACAGTGATACATCTGAGCTATTTAGATCAACAAGGTATTTATCAATATTACTTGATATTTGACAAGAATGAGGTAATTTGAAATCGTACTATGTTTCTAAAACGTCAGTAATAGTTGAGCATGCTCAGTACAAGATTATATTAGACCTCATCTTTTGAACATTGCCAAGTGTAGGGGTGGATCAAGATATTTGTCAGGTATGTTATAAAATGAAGAAATATATATTGTTATCAATGATAAACCAGGGAAGTACGGCAGACCCTTGCTGTCGAGTTTGCTTGATAAACGTCAGCCATTTTGAATTTTCCACCATATTGATTTCTTTTCTCTGTAACCAAGTTGTTTCCAGGTGTCAGACTGGGTCGTTGATACGGTCCGCGGTCTTATTGCCTCTTTTCTCGGTATTATTTATTATATTATTATTTAGTCAACCACGTTACTGATGTACTTACACAGAAGCCTCGCTGAACCTCCTTCGTTCAAGTTCCATTCTCAGCACTGAAAGCACGCAAAAACACTCGTTTAAACAGACGAATTGAAGCTTTTACGGCATGTACTGTATACGCAATGCATTGTAGGATATGTTTGGGACAGAACATATGGCGGATTTCTTTTGTTTTTTTCTAGAAACTGATCCCGCAATGCATTGGTAATCACGTTGGTGACTTAAAATACATGAATAAATGAATCAAGAAGTGAATAAATAGTGGAAGCGTTGCTTTAAAAAACAATATTAAACTTGCAAAAAAAGAATGTAAAAGTTTTCCAGAAAAGTTCGCTAATAGACTGAATTCTTGGTGATTTGGTGATAAAATTGTTGTTGGAATTTTCTATTCCTTCATACATGTAACAGTGAAGTTTAAAATTTTGTCCTTCGTGTTGCTTTGATAAAGGCTGTCCACCTGAAATACACATTTCCTATATAAACTGCATGTCTATAGTGGACAACTTTGTCAAGGTCGGATGAATTCTTACTCACAAGTCTGCGTGTGGTGTAAAGCAGCTCGAAGGTCTTCCGATTCTCGCTCCATTTCTTTCAGTTTCANTCTTGAAAATTAACCGTCCCTTTGCAAAGAAGCGAGCCGACCGTTGTGTGTGCACAATAGATACCTGTGAATAATTAGCGTGAAAGAAGATTCACATTATTGCATGCTTAACGGTCGTCTCGCTAAGATACAATGGTAAAGCTATCTTTCACGAGATGGCGCTTGGAATCGTGAAGGAGACTGTTTCAGGTACCTTCTGTTCTTCTTCTCTCTTCGATTGAATCATTTGCATATATTGCAACATCACTGGATCAATGTCGGGATCTTTTTTAACAYCTTCTTGTTGTTCTGTTTCAGCTTTGTCTTCCTGTACTACTTCCCGCTTSKCAGTGCTCTCTTCTWYTACTCCTTGTTTTGCGTTTTCACGTTCTTGTRATTCTTGCTTACGTTGTAATTCCGCAAGTTCWCGTTGTTCACGTTCCCACGCTTCTTCTTCGCGTTGACGCCTCAGTTCTTCGCGTTTACGYTGTTCTTCTTCCCATTCGMGTTGTTCACGCTCACGAATTTTCTCGAGTTCTAGTTCACGTATCTCGCGTTCCTTACGTTCACGGGTTTGACGTTCACGTTCTTCGTGCTCGCGTAATTTATTACGCTCTTCAAGTTCACTTTTCTCACGCAATAAATCACGCTCTTTACTCGCAGCGAAATYATCATCGGTCTTTACTTTGGAGTTGTTCTTCCATGCAGAATCTAAAGTAATTGGTGGCCGTTGAACCTGTTCTGGAGATGAATGATCCGATTTMATAGATTCCCCGCCAAGGCTTTGCTGTCTTTCAATATTTTCATAATCTGTTGTACCGCCCCATGCAGTATCTAGAGATATTCTACCCGCAGAATCATTTTTTGTATTTTCTTGATTATCATGTTGAGTTGTATCAACGTGTTTTTTTAGTTGTTTGCCATCTGAAGTTCTATCGGGTTTGTTTAAGGTACCCAAGGACAGATACCCTGCACTYAAAGACGCATCACTGCTTCGATGAGACTCGTTTTCACTTTCAGTATCACTTTTTCTCCCGTGAAAAACACTCCCGTCGATCACAGGAACATGCGAGGCTTGRGCACTGCCTTTTTGTACATCAGATGACGTCAGAAAGCCCGTTTCACGTGACGACATCCCACTGCCTTCATTTCCACGGCCAATGGTGCTCGACAGAGGACGTCTCGTCATTTCTCCAGAGGAATAACCAGTGTTCTTGTAGGGTTTACTGGTGTCTGTAATGGTACTTGGTATTGAGGAATGGTCTATTGGAGCTGATATCACTGAAGGTGAACCGGGTTTAGCGATTAAATCACTAACATTGACGGTGTTGTTTGGTGGTCGCTTGTTGATCGTCGATAAACCAAAGTATCTATGGAATACAGGATACTATTAAGAATGCGTTCAAGGGCGGATCCAAGAAGGGGGAAGGGGGGGAGCGATTAAGGTGTCTAGCTATCCTTTATTAAGATTCAAAAATATATAAATGAGAAATAATGATATGAATAAATAATTAAGGATGTGAAGTTTTTTTGTTTTGGCTTAGGTACGTTGTAATGTTGATCAGGCGTTTTGGTCTTCTATCTTGGACATTCATCAGTGCTAAAATGTTTACAAAAACCGTTGTATTTTAACTTTTGGCGAGCGCGCTTCTGAAATTTACAGGTTGAGTAATACATTTTTATAAGTGTCAGGTATTGTCAATAGAAAACAATAAATCTATATGGGACTCATCCTGAAAAACGATTAAAACAGCGTTAATCTTGATAAATGATAAATGATAAATTTCATTTTCCGCAGCCATAAATCTATTCATTTGAATTTAAATTTTTAGTTGAGCGCTACCCTTTGTAACTGTCTGGCCCGCTACTAACTGGAGTTATAAATCGTTCATTGTTTATTATTGATGGTTTTCAACCATTTCCATGAGATTCTAAAGAAAAAAGACCGGCGGCCATGTTGGAGGAATGAACAAGATGGCCGCTGTGACGTATAGTGAAAACAAAGAATAAATTGCTCACAATGCATGACAGCGTACACAAAGAATCAATGACAAAGGACCAACCTTGGTGCTGTTGTATTCTGGGTAAGATCAGAGACACCAAAAGATGGTAAGGAATAAAACCGTGTACCACTGCCACCGTGCGTCGTGTCGTCTCTTAGCAACACTGATTGTGTAAACTGTTGGGGATCCAAGGAGCTGCTCACGTGACCACTTGCCAAATATGGAATAGGAACATCGTGACCTTTGTTATCACTAGCTGGTACCCATGACAACGGAACAAAATTGTCTTGCGAATCTGCATAAAAATAGTAATGTGTAACATGAAATAGTGTATAACATAATAATTTAGTATGACTAAAATCATTTAATACTGTCACAATTTGCACAGCATTTCAATATTTTTGCGATTCCTGGTTCTCCATTGGATTATTTTCAAAAAGAACCAATCTTTAAAGGGGTACCACTACAAAAATGTCCTATTTCTCAAAGTTTTTGGAAGTCAAAAGTATGAAAAGCAGAGTTTTTATTAACACCTATTAGAAGCTGGTCAGCTTGGATTGTGAGGCATCCATAGCGAGAAAGTTTGGTTCTGTACCAAATATTTGAGATATTTCTCCAAATATAAGAAAAATGTTAAAAACATTAATACTGAATGAGTAAGTTGCGCATGCTTAGTAGTGACTAAACTCTGCAGTAACCTTGTTTTTCATTTTTCGTCATTTATCTCACTGTAATTCATGTTAATTAGTGTCGGCGTTTCATAAGTCGTTTACAACAATCCCGTCCGCCTGCAGCTCGAGATTGTAATTCCCATACAACACGGCCGCTTATGTTGCAAACTACTTGTATACTTACTAGCTTTGTCCTGTTTCGAGGCCACTGCCAATAGAGGCTGTGCTCCTACAGTGTTGCCAGGTGTTGGGAGAGTAGGGTGCTTTTCTAATGATACCGGTGGTACACTTGTAAACTGGTCCAGACCTGTGTTCTTCATGCGAGACTGGAAACGTCGATACGATTCCTCCAAATCCTTCAAAGTTAACAAACGTTTTGTATAGTTTAAAACACTCAACTATACAATCGTTCAATGAAGTGGCTTAAATATTTCGAATATAGCGGAAGCTGCAAACAGTTATTCCAAGAAAATAACGTCCTGAATTATGCATAGCCAGGGGCATGCGCAGTACGGTATCAAGATTTTGAATAAGGTCAGTGACTACAAAATGGCAAGGGTTTTGTGTGTGTTGAAGTTCTTAGAATTTTTGTTCTAACAAATACGATGACTTTACCAATACGGTGTACTAAAAGACCGGTCAAAGGGTATTCAAGGCGCGTTTTAAAACTTCCTTACACACGACAATTGATTCTTTTGGCTTTTTCGTCAATCCCATGGTGCATTTCGACTAGGGGAGTATGACGTCATTACAAGAGAAGACCACACCAGAGCAAAATAGGCCAGTAAGGTGTTTATGAATTGAAATACGGAGGGAATATTGTTAAAAGTAGCAAATGTCGACAAATATTGTTAAATACCTTTGCATCTTTTTCTAGTTTATCAAACACTTCTTTGGAGTTTGCAATGAGTTCCTGTGTGGTTTTAGTATCATTCATCTCTGCACCATTCCTATCAGAGTTCTGTCTTGGCCGCGCTGCATATTCTACAGTATTTGTGTTTGGTTCAGGAGGTGGGCTTGACAGTGATACATCTGAGCTATTTAGATCAACAAGGTATTTATCAATATTACTTGATATTTGACAAGAATGAGGTAATTTGAAATCGTACTATGTTTCTAAAACGTCAGTAATAGTTGAGCATGCTCAGTACAAGATTATATTAGACCTCATCTTTTGAACATTGCCAAGTGTAGGGGTGGATCAAGATATTTGTCAGGTATGTTATAAAATGAAGAAATATATATTGTTATCAATGATAAACCAGGGAAGTACGGCAGACCCTTGCTGTCGAGTTTGCTTGATAAACGTCAGCCATTTTGAATTTTCCACCATATTGATTTCTTTTCTCTGTAACCAAGTTGTTTCCAGGTGTCAGACTGGGTCGTTGATACGGTCCGCGGTCTTATTGCCTCTTTTCTCGGTATTATTTATTATATTATTATTTAGTCAACCACGTTACTGATGTACTTACACAGAAGCCTCGCTGAACCTCCTTCGTTCAAGTTCCATTCTCAGCACTGAAAGCACGCAAAAACACTCGTTTAAACAGACGAATTGAAGCTTTTACGGCATGTACTGTATACGCAATGCATTGTAGGATATGTTTGGGACAGAACATATGGCGGATTTCTTTTGTTTTTTTCTAGAAACTGATCCCGCAATGCATTGGTAATCACGTTGGTGACTTAAAATACATGAATAAATGAATCAAGAAGTGAATAAATAGTGGAAGCGTTGCTTTAAAAAACAATATTAAACTTGCAAAAAAAGAATGTAAAAGTTTTCCAGAAAAGTTCGCTAATAGACTGAATTCTTGGTGATTTGGTGATAAAATTGTTGTTGGAATTTTCTATTCCTTCATACATGTAACAGTGAAGTTTAAAATTTTGTCCTTCGTGTTGCTTTGATAAAGGCTGTCCACCTGAAATACACATTTCCTATATAAACTGCATGTCTATAGTGGACAACTTTGTCAAGGTCGGATGAATTCTTACTCACAAGTCTGCGTGTGGTGTAAAGCAGCTCGAAGGTCTTCCGATTCTCGCTCCATTTCTTTCAGTTTCATATGGCCTTCTTCATACAGTCTTTGAAATTCCTTACAACGRTGGTTCTGAAAAGAAATGAAGGTGAGCAGCTCATTGGAAAATGCAGCTATGCCTGACAGTACAGACACCACTGTGTTCACTGTTTGCAGTAGCCTGTGTTTAGACAATATAATGGGAATTATTTTCCGTCAATTTTTTTATAGAATGGGAATGTTATGACTCCATTATACATATGAACAACAAACACACAAGTTTGATGCTTGGATTGGTCAGCCAACAATTTTTCATATTTCACTTCCCATAATATCGAAGCCATATCACTAACAATAGCGAGGTGTCCTAATAACAAGGTGCTCGTAAGGTAGGAGTAGGCTCAGCTTGCATGTACATGTAGCTCCAAAGAGAGCATTCCGGGTTTTTTTACAAAAAATGAAGCCGATATAATGTGGCCAAAATGACTTCAGCCCATCGTTATTGGACTTACCTCTTGTTGAAGTCGCACTTCCAGTTTCTTTTGCCTTTCCTTTGACAATTTGTCTTTGTTTTGGGCATCTTCTTTGAGATTCTTCAACTCATTACGAACAGAAACCTAATGTTTACCAAGAACAAATAAAAACCACTTTGCAGCTACTTTTTACATGAAAGAAAACCCTCTTACTAAAATCAGTAAAGTTCCAAAAAATGATATATTTTTTTTGTTCCTTGTCCATATTGATTGTTTTCAACCTTTTCCACGAGATTCAAAAGATAAAAGACCCGCAGCCATGTTTAAATATAGATAGATACTAATGAGAAATCGTTTGTTAAAGTTCCTCCAAGATGGCCGCTGTGACGTATGGTGAAAACGAAGCATACAGTTTGTGTAGTCTTTTATCTTATCTCGCCAGCACACAAAGAAAATTACCAGACAGGCAGACAGCTAAGCAAGCTTACGGTAACTTTTCTTGCCATATTTCTTACCAGTTCAGTGGATGGTTTTGAATTTTTATCCTTTAATTCTTTTATTGTGGTCTTGTACGCTACAAAATGTTATGTATCAATGAATAAGCTACATTTAAATCAATGTCTGGTATACTGAATAAATCTTTTCATATCCAAAGAGGGCACTAATTTGTGGAGGTGCTCGTTGGAAGAATCGAATATGGCACTATTACTCACCTTTCTCTTTGCTACGCTCATCTTCAAGAAGTCTGTTTATAGAAAGAACAAAGATATCTTACTMAAAACAATGCCAAAAGCTATACCTGAAACTGGCCACTACTATTAAACTCATTTTTGAAGGTTACTTGGGTTGTAAGTTCGATACCTTTGAAGCTCTGCCTTCTCCATCTGCAGTGCGTTTTCATTTTTTCGAATGGTACTATAATCTTTAACCTGTAACAAAAACCGTCATGAACAGAACCAGTTCTCATTGCAAATATAGTTGATATGGTTTCAATTGAAATTACATAAATGTTAGCAAAGGAATTTATAAGTACAATAAGCCTTTTGCATGAAACGGTCATATGGTACTAAGACCACAATTCTCGGGAGGGCAAAAGAATGTAAATAAACTCAAAAACATTAGGAACGTAGCCCGTCAAGCTTGACTTTTCTTTGTTTTGAACATCCCAGTGGGATGGTAGTACCATATAACCGTTTCATGCAGCGACTCCATTTTGTGCAGCAAAGCATTATGGTAGTTTTAGTGCTCGTGGTGGGAACTAGCGGTAAACTAGTGTGAGCTGCGTCGGTGTTTCTAAAGAAACAGTTGTGCAAAAAGATAAATTAAACACCGTAAAAAAGTAGGAGAAGTAACTTAGTGACGTTTCTGACGTTAATCCTTCGTCTCTTTTACTCCGACGAAGGATTAACGTCCGAAACGTCAGTAAGTTACTTCTCCTACTTTTTTACGGTGTTTAATTTATCTTTTTACACAACTGTTTTAGTCCTCGTACTTTTTCATGTCCGCTAAAACAGTCGTACATAAATGTTTATACTTTTTCTCAGCCAAAAGTGGACATTGTTGCCGTTTCAAAATTTTTAAAGGTATTTTAGGGTCTACAATAATTGTGAAGACTACATCTACCATCATGCTTTGCTGCACAAAATGGCGGCGCCGCTCATTACCTAACATAATGCTTCATACCTCGTCTAGCTTATGCAAAAGGGCGTCTTTTTGTTGCTGGAGGTTAGCTATATTGTACTTGGAAGCTTCTAACTGACTCTAGAGTAAAATTGAATAGTTGTAGTATGACGTACAGAAGAAATTTAAAAAACAGCGCACTCTAGGGGGCAACACACCATGTGAGAAGTGTATTAATAAGGTAAACTAGTGCGAGCTACGTCGGGTTTTTTTTAACAAAATGAGACAAACAAAGACAGACCTTTAGGGGTATTGAACAATAAAAACATCAATTGCCAAAGTACATGTAATGCCTACATGCTTATTCTAGAGTTTGGTGTTACTTTGGTGCATCCAAGATCCTTTGCGGTCTTTGTTTGTTAGTGTTGTTGTTTTTTAATAAAATAATAATAATCTGTATTAAAAGTTGGTTTCTAATTGGTTCAAAATCGAAGATTGCCGGATTTTTCGTATGTAAGAAAACCGCGCAAAGTTTCTCGTATGCACATGGTCCTTCCATTTAAAACCAACCTGAAGTTTTCTTAGTTGTTCCTTCTTCTCCTCAAGCTCATTATAATACCCTTTGTATTGCTCTTTAACATCATCAAAGTTTTGCTTGTCTTCTGTRAYRCACAAAAACGGTTTTGCAAAGGAAAAAGACATGGCTTAGTGTGAAGTCCTTAAGCCCGTGAAACAAAATYTAACTATTAAAGTGCGATAGTGAAATATAGACACAAAAGAAAACAATGCGATTAGAGCGTACTACATGTAAGGTGTATTAGACGTGTAATTTATATTTCAAAGGTTATTTGACTTCACTAACTCACTGTCAATAGACCTCTGCAGCTTTTACGTCATGTACCGTATACGCAATGCATTGTAGGATATGTTTGGGACAGAACATGGCGGATTTCTTTTGTTTTCTCTTGAAACTGATCCCACAATGCATTGAAAATCACTAGTAGTGACGTAAAAGGTTCAGAGGTCTATTGTATGAAACCTCGCCACCACTCGGAACCACTATAGACACGTCGTAGTAATGACGTTACAATATACGCGACAATTCGCACGCGACAAATCGCATCGTGAATACATGTTTTAAAGCACAGAAAAATCCGARCAAATAATATAGGCTATCCATAGCTTTTTTTGTATAAATAGAACTATATAGGCTATCCATAGCTTTTTTTGTATTTATAGTAAACATGCCAAAAGAGAAAGATTTCCTCCCGGTATATTAATATGCAATGGGAAATTGACTGAGTGACTTACGTTGAAACTGAACTTCTCGTAATTCCAATTCGTGTAGTTTCTTTTGATAATTTTCTTGGTGCTGGAGTTTAAACCTATTCAGAAATACAACACACGCTACTGACAAGTCTTGTAAAACTATATTTTTCATCATATGATAGTAAAATGCCTTGGAACTTTAATGCTGTGTTTTTTACCATCTGGCCGAATTTCGGCCAATTTTGTTGAGTTTAATGATAGCTTTCCTCCAAAATAAATAAGATACTCAGTCAGATAATATTTTTATCACAAAAAAGCAATACAATGAAAGTTTCATAGCATTTTATTGTCAWTTGACCTAAGAATTTGAAGTTCAATAAAGTTGCATATATATGTGTACATATTTTATAGTGAATCAACACAATTATTAAGCTTGGACTACCTGCTTCTACAAAAGCATTTATAGTGCAACAAAAACAATGATAGGCAATGCACATAATTCACAATGTACCAAAAGTAGTCTTATTCAGAGGCACTTTGAATTATGCTTTGTCTGTTTTTTTTTCTGAATTAAACTGTTTTTCATTTGTAATGTAATATTCATTTGACAATTAGTTCTCTCCTACCTTTGTATTTCATCCTCTATTTTTTGTTGCATTCTTGACTCTTGTTCTCGTAGTCCCATCTCTTTTTCTTTAAGCTTTTCAGCATCAACTTTAATTTTCTCTTCCTCAAGTTTTAGAGATCTGTATAATTATTAAGCATACAAATTGATTAGAATAAGTCACTGATGTAGTCATGGTAAGATTGTTTTACAGTATTTACTAGAGTGTACTTGTACATTCTCACGTTGGACACAAAATCGGCAATGGTTAAAGCCACATATTTTGCTACAGCCTTTACATGTATGTCAAATGTTGATCAATCTCAACAAAATTTTCACAAATGACCAACTAAAGGTAGTGTTGTATTTCTGAATGGAAAAGATCACATGACACACTTATGGCATCACAGCGAATTGTAACCGTTTTATCAAAAGTCAGTTGACTTCAAGATCAAATTGGGAGACATGAATAAATTATTCAATCAGTTAACTAGACATTATTGCTATCTTAGGCTATCAGTAAACCAGACATTTTTGCTACTTTAGACTATCAATTAACCAAACTTTATTGCCGTGTAAGTCAATAACATAACAAGACATTATTGGCGCTTTAGTCAGACAGTAAACCAGGCATATTATTGCCATCTAAGTCAGACAGAATAAATAAGTAAACCACAATTATTATAATTCATGCTTGCCATTAGTGAAAGTACTTAGCTGCAACAAGCTACAGTATTTACTAGAAACATTTTGGTGCAATATTTATCCCAATGCAACTATTCATTGCAGAGTTACAGTACAAAGGATTTCCTTCACTGTGACGACAACTTTTTTGCTGATTTTGTTCATTGATCAGTCAATATACCTTTCTTGCAATTCCTGTTTTCTTTTTAAGTCACCCTCTCTATCTTTAACAGCCTGCATGTCYTCAAGGATCTTCTGTCTTTGATCATATGCTTCTTGTTCTTGTATCTTAATGTGAAAATAAGTACAAGAAATACTTGTAAAACAAATAAAAACAAAGAACATAATATAATTATACGTTTATAATTATACGTTTTTTTTTATTTTATAATCCATAAATATGGAATGTGTTCAACCTTT